TCCTCCTCCTCCTCCCCCTTCTCCTCCCCCAGCGGCACAGATGGGGTGCAGACAGAGGACAGCTGGACAGCTGGACAGAGTGGCCAGCGCTGCCCAGTGGCCCATGGCCAGTGGCGAGGGGGCGGGGGGGGGTATGGCAGGACCTTTTGTTCCCTTTGTGCCCTGGGCCCCCTGATTTGTGCGGCCCCAGGAGGGACCCCAAACTGGGAACACTGGGGAACGCGTGGTGGGGACAAGGGACAGCACGGGCTGGGACTCAGTTTCCCTCCCAGTGTCCCTAGGGATTCTCCCAGTATCCCCAGTATCCCTGGTGTCCCTAAGGACTTTCCTGGTGCTGCCAGTGTCCCTGGGGACTCTCCCAGTCTCCCCAGTATCCCTGGGGGCTTTCCTGTTGCTCCCAGTGTCTCTGGAGACTCTCCCAGTCTCCCCAGTATCCCTGGAGTCCCTGGGGATGTTCCTGGTGCTCCCAGTGTCCCTGGGGTCTCTCCCAGTCTCTCCAGCATGTCCAGTATCCTTGGTGTCCCTAAGGACTTTCCCAGTGCTCCCAGTGTCCCTGGGGACTCTCCCAGTCTCCCCAGTATCCCTGGGGGTTTTCCTGGTGCTCCCTGTGTCCCTGGAGACTCTCCCAGTCTCCCCAGTATCCCTGGTGTCCCTGGGGACTTTCCTGGTGCTCCCAGTGTCCCTGGGGGTGTGTGTACTAGGGGATTGGACCCCCCTGGTCATCTTGAGGGGGTGGGGAAGGAGAAGAAGGTACTGGGTGCCTCCAACTGGGATGTTGGAGGTGGTGAGGGTGGGGGGACATAGCATCCCCATCAACCCTCCTGAGATCTGGAGGGTGAGGGGAGTCTAGACCAGGCAGTGGGACCCCAAAATAGCTTGATGGGGTGGTGGGACCTCAAAACACCTTGATGGGGTAGTGGGACCCCAAAACACCTCATCCTCTCAGATCTGGAGGGAGAGGGAAGCCTAGATGAGGTGGTGGGACCCCAAAATACCTCGATGGGGTAGTGGGACCCCAAAACACCTCATCCCCCCAGATCTGGATGAAGAAGGAAGCCTGGATGGGGTGGTGGGACCTCAGAACAGCTCAGTGGGCTAGTGGGACCCCAAAACACCTCGATGGAGTAGTGGGATCCCAAAACACCTCATCCCCCCAGGATCTGGAGCAAAAAAGAAGCCTAGATGGGGTGGTGGGACCTCAAAACACCTCAGTGGAGTAGTGGGACCCCAAAACACCTTGATGGGGTAGTGGGACCCCAAAACGCCTCATCCCCCCAGATCTAGAGGGAGAGGGAAGCCTAGATGGGGTGGTGGGACCCCAAAACACCTCGATGGAGTTGTGGGACCTCAAAACACCTCAATGGGGAAGTGGGACCTCAAAACACCTCATCCCCCCAGAACTGGAGGGAGAGAGGAGCCTAGATGGGGTGGTGGGACCCCAAAACGCCTCGATGGGGAAGTGGGACCTCAAAACACCTCATCCCTCCAGATCTGGAAGAAGAGGGAAGCCTGGATGGGGTGGTGGGACCTCAGAACACCTCGATGAGGTAGTGAGACCTCAAAACACCTCATCCCCCCAGAACTGGAGGGAGAGAGAAGCCTAGTTGGGGTGGTGGGACCTCAAAACACCTCGATGGAGTAGTGGAACCTCAAAACACCTCATCCCCCCAGATCTGGATGGTGGCAGCCACCCAAACAGCATAGTGAGACCCCATAACACTTCACCCCCACAGAGACACAGAGGTGGGGACACCCCTAAACCTCACCCAGCTCCCCTGTGACACGGGTGGGAAGGTCTTACCGGAGACAGAGACCCTCATGACGGCCTCGAGCGGGCGGTTGTTGTCCAGGGCCGGGCTGAGGCGCAGGTCCCCGCTCTGGGGGTCCAGCAGCACCAGGTTGAGCTCGTTGCCCTGCTCGAAGGCGTAGGTGAGGCGGTCGGAGACATCGGGGTCGTGTGCAGGGATGCGGCCGATGACGCCCCCGGGGAAGCTGCCGGAGCGGTTGGTGATGTAGTTGTTGAAGAGGATCTCAAAGTTCTTCAGCTGAGGGCTGTTGTCATTGGCGTCGCGCAGCCGCACGTGGACAGTGGCTCTGCTGACCAGCGGCGCCGAGGTGGCCTGGACCACCATGACGTACTCAGCCTTGGCCTCATAGTCCAGGTCAGCCAAAGCAGTGAGCTCCCCGGAGAAGATATCTAACTGGAAGACCTCTGGGATGTTGCCCTCCACGATCTGGTACATGATCTGGGCGTTGGTGCCCTCGTCGGGGTCGGTGGCCGTGATCCTGGCCACCACCAACCCGATGGGGCTGTTCTCCTCCACAAAGATGTCAAATTCATCCCTCTCAAAGACAGGTGGGTTGTCGTTGACATCCAATACCGTCACCTGGATCTCCACCGGCGTCCGCCGAGCCGGGACGCCCTTATCGACGGCGAACGCCCGCAGGGAGTAGAGCGGCACGTTCTCCCGGTCCAATCGGCGCAAGGTGCGGACGATGCCTGAGGTGGACTCGATGATGAAGTCACCATCACCATCATCACC